CCAGGGCCAGGAGTTCTGGTGGCAAAGGTCAGGGGTTAGGGGGACAGGACTTCTGGTACCAAGTTGGTGACCAGGGGACGGGGCACCTGTCAAGGTGCGGGGCTACCTTTGCTACCCTCTACAGCTCACCAAAACTCATGAAGCAGCCCTCCAGCTGGAATAATTGTCCACCCCTGTGCTATATAGATGGAAAACCATGTTAGTGCAATCATACATCCTTGCTTGACTTCAGTTCTAACAGTGAAGGGGTCCATTTCCAAGCCATTGCTTAGGGCAGTTGCTGTCATCTTGTGAAGAAGTCTGATGATGGTAATGAATTTTGGCAAGCATCCCAATCTCATCAGGATCTTGCATAAGGCCTCTCTTTTGACTGAATCAAAGGCCTTAGTGAGGTCAATGAAGGCCATGTAAAAATCTTGGTGTTGCCTGTGGCAGCTGTCTAGAAATAAAGATCATATCTACTGTCTCTCCGTGTGGTCTGAAACCACCCTGGGACTTGGGCAGAAGCTCCTCAGCAAGGAAGTGAGTCTATTGAGGAGAACGGGGGCAAGGACCTTCCCAGCTATGGACAGGAGTGCAATACCACAATAGTTGCTGCATTGTAATCTCTCTCCTGTCTTGAATATGGTAACAGATCTGGCACCTCTTAAGTCACTGGGAATTTGCTCATGTTTCCATATTTTCATAACGGTGACATAGTTGGCGAGAGAGTTTTTTTCCACTTTCGTTATAAATTTCAGCTGATATTGAATCAAGACCCCATGCTTTGTTGTTTGTCATCTGCTTAATGGCTTTCAAGAGCTCTTGATAAGTTGGCAGATCTACAATGTAGTCCCTAACAGGACTGTGAAATGGTTGGATAGTTTTGTCTTCGACTTTAGAATTTGGGGCCAGGAACTTTTGAAAATCCATCTTCCCCATGTGTTGATGGTGGAGCTGTCTTTGAAGAGTTTTGTTCAATCCATGAAATTCAGAGGGACTGCTTCTTTGTTTTCCTGGCTCTGTTGGTTTGGTTTTGTTGAAAAAACTATTCATGTTCTGGTTGACAGCAAACTTTTGAATCTCTTTTGCTTTGTCCTCCCACCACTTGTTCATTTCCTCTTGAATTTTCCTTTGGGCCTTGGCTTTAACATGGTGATAAGTGTCTTGCTTCTGTTTGACAAGTTTCTTTGAGTAAATCCGATATCTTTTATTAGACCAACTCAAATACTTGGAAAAATTTTTCTTAGCAAGCTTTCGGGCACAAACCCTTCCTCAAGCTGAAGAAGCATCTGTGCTCTTCTTTGCTTCTGTTTGGAGCTGACATCTTTCTGCCAAGCATTGAAAGGCTCTCTTTTCTCTGTCAACGAGAGCTTGAATCTCTGTATCATTCTCATCAAACCAGTCCTGATGTTTCTTTGTAGAGAAGCCTGGAGGTTCATTGCGTGCCTCGTGGATGCCTTTCTTGAGGCTCTGCCCAGGATCGGTTGTATCAAGATCATCATGGAGACAGAGCGTTTCTCATTGAGGCACTGCTGGAGAGGATCACTTTTAGCAGAGTCTGGAGCAGCAGGAAAAGCTGGAATTTCTCTCGCCCAGCCAGCCCCATGACTGGCTGGGCAGGCAAGCATTATTCCCTGCTGCCCCAAGCCCACAACATGGGTTTATGAAATGAGACAGACTGAGTTTGGGGCACCTTTTCTAGCTTGTTCCCCATACAGGGCGAGCAGAGTAGATCCTACATAGCCCTGCCCAGCTGGAATTGCAGCTGCTGAATTGCACTGCCTGTCTCGGTTCCAAGTACAAAACAAGCATCATGCAGTCATTGCCTCCGTGTAGGTCCACGTCTAAAGGCTTCCAGTAAACACTAGCACCTGCCCCTATCACTACTTGCCCATTGCTGTAGGACTTGCTATTGAAGGAAGATGCCTGTGCGTGTCTTTTTGCAACATGGGGATGCTGCTGCACATCAGCAACCATGACACTTTGCAGGAAAGAAACTTTGATCAGATAGCAAGGAAAGCCTAGACAACTGGAGGTTTCTATTCTGGTAGCCGTCATCTCCTTTTGCAGCCAGGGTGGAAAAGAACTGCAGGGGGCCTGATGGAAAGGGCAGTAGGCCATGTTGGAGAACAAGGTGTGGAAAGGGGTCAGGGTTTCTGTTCCAGAAGTAGGTGACCGGGCACTGGTTCTCAACCTTGTTAGACTCAAGGTACCTCTCAGTGGAGTCAAGGCACCCCTTGGAAAATGCCAGCTCTTAAGTGTTCACTTGATTTTTAACTACAGAAAAATAATAGTGGAAGCAGGGGGCTGCCACCAAGGAGGAGTATACCTGCTTGGTTCCAGCTTGCAGGGAAACAGTGAAGAAAGCCAAAGCGGAAATGGAGCTTAGGCTGGCAGCAAAAGTTAAGGATAACAAGTCATTCTTTAGGTACATAGGAAGAAAAGGAAGGTGCAGGGTAACTTAGGGCCCCTTCAGGATGAACTAGGGCAGCTGGTAACAGATAGGATGGCCAAAGCGGAGCTTCTAAATGATTTCTTTGCATCCGTGTTCCTGGACATGAATACAAATACACATCCCATTGAAACCTTAGGTAAGACCAGTATAGATGCCCACCCACCAACTGTTGGAGCTGACCTAGTAAAGGGGCACCTGGAGCAGCTGAAAGTATTCAAGTCAACAGGCCCTGATGATCTTCATCCTAGGGTACTTAGGGAATTAGCTGGAGTCATAGTGGAGCCGCTGGCACAACTGTTTGAGCACTCGTGGTGCTCAGGACAGGTCCTGGAGGATGGGAAAAGAGCCAATGTGGTCCCTATTTTCAAGAAGGAGAGGAAGGAGGAACCGGGTAACTATAGGCCGGCTAGCCTCCCCTCTATTCTTGGCAAGACCTTTGAGAAAATTGTTAAGGATCACATTTGTGGTGGACCAGAAGGTAAAATGATGCTAAGGGGCAATCAGCATGGGTTCATAGCAGGCAGATCCTGCCTGACTAACCTGGTTTTATTTTACGACTGGGTCACAAAATGCTTGGATGAAGCAATAGAGGTAGATGTATTTTCTTAGATTTTAAAAAGGCCTTTGACATGGTGTCACACCCAGTTCTTATAAATAAACTACACAGTTGCAATGTAGATTATTACACAGTCTGGTAGGTAGAAAATTGGCTCATGGGACACACGCAGAGAGTGGTGGTGGCCAGGTCAGTTTCTACCTGGAGAAACGTGGGCAGCGGAGTCCCCCAGGGCTCTGTCCTGGGACCAGTACTATTCACTATCTTCATCAATGATTTGGAGGAGGGAGTAGAAAGCACACTGTCCAAGTTTGCTGACGATACCAAACTATGGGGGGAGGTACACAAACTAGACGGCAGGGAGCATATCCAGGCTGATTTGGACAGGCTGGGGAAATGGGCCGAACAAGGACAGTTTAACAAGGATAAGTGTCATGTGTTGCACCTGGGGAGAAAGGATCATCAACACTGCTACAGCCTGGGAGGGACCAGTCTAAGTAGCACGACCGCAGAAAGGGATCTCGGAGTCGTAGATGACTCCAATATGAACACGAGTCACCAGTGTGATGAGGTAGCAACTAAAGCTAACCGCCCCCTTTCTTGCATCAGCAGGTGCATCACAAACAGGTCTAGGGTGGTGATACGTCCCCTCTATGCAGCACTGGTCAGGCCGCAGCTGGAGTACTGTGTCCAGTTTTGGGTGCTGAACTTCAAGAGGGATGTGAATGGCCTGGAGAGGGTTCAGAGGAAGGCCACTCATCTGGTTAAAGGCCTACAGAAAAAACCCTATGTGGACCTATTGGGAGACCTGAACCTCTTCAGCCTCCGCAAGAGGAGGCTGAGAGGTGATCTTGTGGCCGCCTGCAAACTCATGGGTGGGGGCAGCAAGAAATAGGGGATACGATGTTTACCAGGATGCCTGTCAGGGTAACTAGAAATAGTGGCCACAAACTGGAAGAGACCAAATTCAGATTGGACATCAGGAAAAAATTCTGTACAGTGAAGGTTGCCAAAATCTGGAATAAGCTTCCAAGGGAGGTGGTGCTGTCCCCTTCCTTGGAGGTAGTTAAAAGGAGATTGGACAGACACCTGGCTGGGGCCATCTGACCCCAGCACTCATCCCTGCCCAGGGCAGGGGTCGGACTCGATGATCTAATACGTCCCTTCTGACCCTAGCATCTATGAAACTAATAGAACAATTCTTCTGTTGTAAAGGACTCAGAAAGCCCACAATAGATCAGAGAGCTTTAGCACTATGGATTCCTATTTAAAACCGAGTTTATTTTGTAAATCACATTTGCACACTTAACAGTGATAACATTGTGGGGCACTTTATGGCACTTCTGAAAGGATCCCAAAGCACCCCAGGGTGCTGTAACGCCCTGGTTGAGAATCACTAGAGTATGGAAATGTGATCAAGCGGGCAGCTGCTGGGAGAGCCTGGGGCAGCCACAGGTGTGGGAGGCAAGGGCTGTGCAGGGGATGGAGTAGTGCATGGCACGAGTGTTACCAGTCAGGTTGTGACGGAGAGCGTGGTGGGAGGGGCTGTGCCGTGCCTCTTTGTTTGCAGACGCAGGTGCTTCACGGCTGGAGGTCGAAATGAAAGTCTAGATGGATTCATCCATAAAAGACATCCAGGTGGCAAGAGCTGTGCACCCTGGCTGCTATCAGGGACCAGCCTGCAAATGTTGTAGAGCAACAGCATTATTTGCTCTTCTCATGAGAGAGCTTCCAAGGAGCACAAGGGTCTGGCCGCTGGGCCTGGGTCAGCATCAAGCTCCAGTCTCCCCTGTGGGTCGCAGTAGGCTTTTGGTAATTCTCCGTTGCCACCTGGCTCCTGAGTACAGTGCACAGACTCAGCTTTTCAGTAGCTTTGTTACGTGCCCAAGCCCTTGACGTGAGTTGACACAACACTACCAAGCCTGCAAGGCATACAGTGATAGCGTGCCCCAAAACGCCCTCCCCACGGCCTCCCTGTGATACCCTTATCTGTGTGTTGTCTTGCAGCAAAAGCGGAAACTGAGGCTCTACATCTCCAACACCTTTAACCCTGCGAAGTCCGACGCTGATGACTCTGATGGCAGCATTGCGTCCTGGGAGCTGCGGGTGGAGGGGAAGCTCCTGGATGATGTAGGATTTGTGGGCACTTCTCGCTTCTCTTCTCCGGGGCTGGGAAGGGGCTGGACATTACTTACGTGGCCTGTAGGGTGAGGGCCTAGTCTCCGGGATGCCGGGGTGAGGCAGAGCCTCTCCGTGCAGCCCTGTTTGGGTCATTACTACTGGGGAAGCATGTGCCCAGCAGCGTCAGTATCACGCTGGGGGCCAGGACAGAAAGGGAGGGGGACAGGGCCATGGGACAGAAGGAAACAAGGGATAGCATGTGAGGGGGGAGCACAAGTGTGGAGCAGATAAGCAGTGTTGCACATATGATGGTCGGGAGGATGTTCTCACGGTCTGCCAGGACCTGTGCGGGGAGCAGAGTGGCCAGAGGGAGCTCATTGCTGCTGAGCCAGTGTGGGACAAGTGTGGCTGAAGGGGGAACCTCAGCAAAGTTAAGCTGAAACTAAGACCCTTGCTTCAATGACAGGAGCAGTGCATTATCTGTGAACCAAAGGAACATGGGCTGCAGGGGTTCCTCCATCACTGGCAATTCTTAAATGGGGAGTGGGTGTGTTTTGTGGTTTGAACACAAACTGAGATTGGCTTGGGGCTGCCTGGGTGGGAGGAGGAGCCGGGATCACAGTGGGCTCTTCTGGTTCTGGAGCAGCAGCAAGCAGCGGGATGCAGCGGTGAATGCCACCAGCCCATGGCAGCCTCCAGATCTGATGCAAGGACACTGTTCCCTTCCCACCCAGTTAACCTGGGGAACTCCCTGCCACAAGGCAATGGAGGCCCAGGACTCAGAAGTGGCACATCTAGAATTAGAGCAAGGAGGAAGAGCACTAGGGTGCAAGCCGGCCACTCAGACAGCGCTGCAGAGCTCAGGGATTCTCCACTTCTCTGACCGTGGCCAAACAGGACAGCGGTCTTGATGGCCCATGGGTCTGGCCTGCACTGGCAAGTCATGTTCCTAGGGAGTCAGCCATGGGAGGTGAGCAGGAGTTTCAGGCTGGGATGGCTGCTCTGACTCCTCCCTTTCCTGCTCCTATAGCTCAGCAAGCAGAAGCGGAAGTTTTCCTCCTTCTTCAAGAGCTTGGTCATTGAGCTGGACAAAGACCTGTATGGACCCGACAATCACCTGGTGGAGGTAGGAGGCTCACACGTCCTGGCCAACAAACCCAGCCTGCTGCTACTGCACAACCCTGGGCCCGTCCCCGTTCCTTCTCCCACGGCTCCTTCCCTTCTCCCTTTCTGCTGGGCAGTTTGTGGCCTCACAAGGGCCTTCGCAGAGGTTGCACGGCTGAGTGTGAAGAGCAACGGGTGATGGCGTGTGCCTGTTACTAGGGGCATGCAGGAGATGTGCCGTGCTTGGCGGGCTGGCCGTGGTGCTTTACCATCGACACTGCAGTGCGAGCAGTACCAAAGCCACGCGGGCGCAGAGAACTCAAGTGGTTCCAAGGCTGATTTTGTTATCTCAGGAGTCAGTTGATGTGCGTGTTTTATCGGTGCCGTAGTTCTCTGGATCGTTGCACTTACATGATCTGCTGACTAGTGAAGATAAGCACCTTAGAAAGCTGTAAATAGCATCTGTTTTGAGAGGACTATATTGTCCGTGCAATGGGCTGCCTTCACATACAGCACGCTGCAAGGTCCTTCCAAGAAGATGTGTGGGGAGAAGCTGTGTAGTGATTTGTTGCCAGGTTATGGTTCTTTTTTAAAAGTTAGTTTGGTGCGAGGAGTACATAGGTTCTACTAATGAACACACGTGTGTAGTGACGAACGTAACGTTGTGGAGAGAGGCTGTGACATCAGGTCCAGCTTGCGCTTTCTGACAGACAACAGTGTCTTAGAACATAGTGGGACCATCTTACAGCTAATACCAGTGAGCCAGTGGTTCTCAACCTTTTTAGCCTCAAGGGCCCCCCTTAACTTTTCTGAATTGAGTTGAACCCTGGCTGAGAATTGCTCATCTAGGATCGGCATTCAGAAAGGCTGTGGCAGGGCCCTTCAGGCTAAAAAGTTTGAAAACCAGTGATCTAGCTGGTGCCAGGTTGGAGCAGGGCCTCATCCTGCCATGCCTCACTATTTCCACCCTATGTCCTGGTCTACACCTATGGGAGGATGAGGCAGGGGTGGTCCCCACCTCTGAGGCAGCTCTTCCACACCCTTGCATGCTGGCAGCTGGAGCCATCAGCCCCTATTGCCCAACTCACCAGCCCTGGGAGGATGAGCTGAGCTGAAAAACTACAGCTCTGCAGCTTCACATCTGCTTAGTGTGTGGGCTGCCTGGGGGTGGGAGAGGGCAGCAGCAGCAGTCCCCAGAGGAAAAGCTGTGTGCGCTGCTTGACCATGGTTTGCTGGGGTGGGTGCATGGCATCAGGCAGTGGGAAGAGAGTGCTTACCTCCTTGCGCAGGGGCCAGGCACCACAACACCTGTAAAGGGATCTTGTGGTTGAGAATCAAATCACTGGCTTAAGCACTAAGGGGAGACACAGGCTGGGTATTCTTCCCTATATCTTCCCAAGTCCTGATTTTGGAAGGTTTGATTTCAGAGGGTTACTCTGATCTCGGAGGGGTTGAGCACGGAATACTGCACATATGTTGAATGTGTGTGTACACACACACGCAAACACACACAGTTTCCCGTGTTAGCCAGCGTTAAACCAAGGCTGACTTTCCTCCCATTTGGCTTCTCTTTCCACAGTGGCACAGAACCCCCACGACCCAGGAGACCGATGGCTTCCAGGTGAAACGGCCTGGCGACGTGAGTGTGCGGTGCACACTCCTCCTCATGCTGGATTACCAGGTCAGTGTGTGGCTCATGGTGTGGCAGCTGCTCACATGGAACACCAGTGTCAGGTCACACAAGAGCACAGGGGAGGCGCCTGGCTGCGTGCATCTGGGAGCAATTTCCTGTTGCCGTTCCTGAGATGTGTAGAATTCCTGTCACGCAGGGGGATGGATTTTGCCCGGAAACCATTATAGTTTTTGTGATGCGTTGGGGAAGGAAACATCATTGGTGTAAGAATGCGGGTCTCATTCATCAGCTGTAGAGATGGTGGTGCTGGTGCTGAAGGGGAAAAGTGCCTTATGGGCATAAATTTCGTATTGCTGCCATTTGTTCTTTGCTTACCTGCAATGCCTGCAAGTGAAACTGAGGCAGGACAAGCTGGAAGTGGGGCCTAGGCAAATGCAGATGGGTGAGATCTCAGGCTGTGCCAGTTGCACTCAGGCAGTGATGGACATTAGCAGAGGGGTTTAAGTTAAACCCTTCCCAGCATATTTGAAAGCCATCTTGTGGTATGGGAGCAGTTACAGAAACTGTGTTTGCTGGCCATACTCCTTTTCAGATACAAGTAGCTGCTGCATCCCATGTTGTACTGTGCAGAAAATGCGCTGTGGTCATGTCAAAGTGTTGGCATCATTTGTTTTGCCTGTTCCTATAAAAAGCAGACTCCATCACCACTCCCTTACTGTGAAGAATCCAGCAATAAGCAAGGCCTCTCTTAGGTCCATACAGCCTGCCAGCCCAGCTGGGAGGCTCATGACATCCCGCCAAAGGTGAGCGGCTTTGCAAAACCGGGGGCAGGGAGCAGGGTGCTCCTTTCTGTGGCAAAAAGCAAAAAGATGAATCTCCATTTTGGTAAAAAGGAGCAGAAAAACATGACTAACTTTAACCAGTTCAGAAAGGCTCAAGAGCACCATAAGGCAGGGGAAAAGCACCGTCAGAAATGGCACTGCTTGTTTTCAAGTAACCAACAGCTTGGAAGCTGCTGAACATGATGCGTTGAATCAGTGGTCTAGGACATAAAGAAAATTGGTTGCTATTGGTATCACAGAATCATAGAAAATGACGGTTGGAAGCGATCTCAGGAGGTCACATCTAGTTGAATCCCTTGCTGAAAGCAGGACCATCCCCAACTAGATCATCCCTGCCAAGGCTTTGTCTAACCAGGTCTTAAAAACATCCAAGGATGGAGATTCCATAACCTTTCTGGGTAACCTGTTCCAGTGCTTCACCACCCTCTTTGTGAGAAAATTTTTCCCAATATCTAACCTAAACTTCCCTTGGTGCAACTTGAGACGATTGCTCCTTGTTCTGTCATCAGCCACCACTGAGAGCAGTGTGGTTCCATCCTCTTTCGATCCCCCTTCAGGTAGTTGAAGGCTGCTATTAAATCCCCACTCATTCTTCTCTTCAGACTAAAGAAGCCCAGTTCCCTCAGCCTCTCCTCACAAGTCATGTCCCCACCCCCCAAACCATTTTTGTTGCCTTCCACTGGACTCTCTCCAGTTGGTCCACATCCTTTCTGTAGTGGAGAGCCCAAAACTGGACACAGTACTCCGGATGTGGCCTCACCAGTGCCGCATAGGGAAGAATAATCACTTCCCTTGACCTGCTGGCAACACACCTACCAATGCAGCCCAGGATGCTGTTGGCCTTCTTGGCAACAAGGGCACACTGCTGGCTCCTGGTCAGCTTCTTGTCCACTGTCACCCCCAGGTCCTTTTCTGCAGAGCTGCTGCCCAGCCCGTCAGCCCCCAGCCTGTAGTGGTGCATGGGATTGTTCTGTCCTAAGCGCAGGATTTTGCATTTGTTCTTGTTGAACTTCACGAGATTCTTTTCGGCCCAATCCTTCAGTTTGTCGAGATCACTCTGAATCGTAGTCCTACCCTCCAGAGTATCTACTACTTCCCCCAGCTTGTGTCATCTACAAACTTGCTGAGGGTGCACTCCATCCCATCTTCCAAGTCGTTGATGAAGACGTTGAACAAAACCAGCCCCAGGACCAACCCCTGAGGCACTTCACTTGATACTGCTTGCCAACTAGACATGGAGCCATTGATTACCACCCTCTGTGCCGGATGCTCCAGCCAGTTTTCTATCCCCTCTGCAGTCCATTCATCCAGCCCATACTTCTTTAGCTTGCCTGTGAGAATGTTGTGGGAGACTGTAACAAAAGCCTTGCTAAAATCAAGGTATATAATATCAACTGGTGTTATAAACAGAGCATCTATAGAGCCAGTCATCTCATCACAGAAGGCAGTCCTGTTGTTCAGGCATGATGACTGTTGGTGACGGTTCCTAATCACTTTCTTCTTCTGCAAGTGCTTAGAAACGAATTACTTTAAGATCTACTCCATGATTTTTCTAGGGCCTGGGGTGAGGCTGACTGGTCTGTAGTTCCCTGAATCTTCATTCTTCCTCTTCTTAAATATGGGCACTATATCTGCCCTTTTCCAATCATCTGGGACCTCTCCCGATCGCCAGGAGTTTTCAGAGATGATGGCCAGCAGGTCTGCAGTCACGTCGGCCAACACCCTCAGCATGCTTGGGTGCATCCCATCTGGTCTCATGGACTTGTATTTGTATTCTAAATAGTCCCTAACCTGTTCTTCACCACTGAGGGCTGTTCACCTCCTCCCCAAACTGTGCTACCTGGTGTAGTAGTGTGCAAGCTGACTTTGCCTGTGAAGACAGAGGTGAAAAAGGCACTGAGTACTTCAGCCTTTTCTGTATCATAGATTCATAGATGCTAGGGTCAGAAGGGACCTCAATAGATCATAGAGTCCGACCCCCTCCCTAGGCAGAAAAGAGTGCTGGGTTCAGCTGACCCCAGCCAGATGCCTATCATGACCCCAGCCAGATGCCTTTCCAGCTTTCGATAGGCACTAGGTTGCCTCTCCCATTCAGTAAGAAACCCACGCTTTTCTTGATCCTTCTCTTGCTGCTGACATACGTATACAAACCCTTCTTGTTACTCTTCATGTCCTTTGCTAGCTGCAGCTCCAGTTGTGCTTTGGCCTTCCTAATTCCATCCCTGCGTGCCCGAGCAATGCTCTTATACTCCTCCCTAGTCGTTGCTCCAAGTTTCCACTTAGAAGCTTCCTTTTTGTTATTAGCTGACTGAAGAGTTCCCTGATAAGCCAAGCTGGTCTTCTGCCATGCATGCTAGTTGTCCTGTGCATTGGGTTGGTTGTGCCCTCAGTAAGGTTTCTTTAAAGTACAGCTACCTCTCCTGGACTCCTTTCCCCCTGAGACCAGCCTCCTAAGGGATCCTGTATGTGCAGTGTTGCATGGAGTGAAAGGATGTCTGACTCCATAAGTGTCTGCCTGCAAATTAAACAAACCTGTTCTATCAATGGGAGCTGCAGTCTGAGCGACACATGTTAGAGGCCTCATGCTGCCACTAGTAATTCCTCTTTGAAAGTCCTAGACACTTGAGATGACAATGTCCTTATTCAGGAAGCATTGCTACCACCACAGGGCACTCCACAATAGGCCTCAGCCAGGCAGATAAAGAGGAATTGATCTCTGAGCTCAACATCAGAGCTCAACTAGGGCCAAGTGACCAGGACGTGGTTATTCTGCTTGCACAGTAATGTCATAGATTCATAGATTCATAGATGTTAGGGTCGGAAGGGACCTCAACAGATCATCGAGTCCGACCCCCTGCCTAGGCAGGA